GGGGTTGGAATTGCAGTCCTTGTATTTAAAGCTTTTTTTCTATATAAACTGTATAAAAAAAAAAACTGAATAACTTAAGCATGATACTGGCTTTGAGCATAGTATTAAATGGTTCTATGTCAGTAATTAAAATAGTCTTTATTTTGTGCAACTATATTTAAATGTTTCAGTTCATTATAATTTTCAGCTTCCCAAACCATTTGGGAAGGATTTCAGAGATTCCCTTAAAGTGGAAATCTGTTTATTGCAGATGAATAGTGGTGATTCTATAAAAGGTAGCTTTTTAAGAAATCTTCATTAAATGAATATATTGAGCTTTGAGAGTAGGTGGCAAGATGGAATCCGTGGGCACTTGGTGGGGGTGAAGCCTTTTGAAGCCTTCCATTTCAGCTAAGATTACTAAGACCAACTGGAATCAGGACATTGTCAGTCTTGTTCTTGATTAAGACATTTCCTGCTGATATCCCCAAATTCTTCACTATTATAATACCTTGGATATCTGCTTGAGGAGCTCTTTGGTGGCCCTATTTGAAATAGGCTCCAGAAATATGTGGTCCTCCAAGAACTGATTTGAGAATTTCCTCTTGCCTCATGGCCACTCTCTGAATGTCATCCTTAAGGGGACTGGAAGGTTGGCTGCATCTGAACTGGGGGTGACAACTCATACCTCTGCAGAAACTTCTCTCTGATAGCACCTTGGGCTATGTAAACAAATGCTTTTTCCTCTTCTGTCCAAAACTGAACCAAATCCTGAATTTTTTAGGCTGTTACTTGATTCTAGGTGACATTCAGCAAAGTACATCTTCCTCGGTGCCCAAGAGCAGTTGCTTTCAAGGATTTTTTGTGGTGCGTCAGTTGGGCCTTTTTAAAGTCATGGGCATCCACTTAGCATGGATTCCCCAGCCTCTCGCCTTTGACCATAACTTCCATGTAACCAGGTCCCTCGAGATACCTTACCACTGTAAGTGTCCAGGTGAATAAACCAACACCGTGGAGGCCAGATGGAGTAGCAGCCGAGAGCAGCACCTTTAAAGACTACAGAGGCTTTCTATTTCAAGAGAAAACTTTGACAACCAGTAACATTTGCAAAAGACTTCTCCCTCTCTGGGGCCATGGAGAAGTGGGACAGGGGGAGGTGCTGAGTGTTCTTCTCAATGCTTAAAAAGTCTTTGAATGTGACAGCTTGAGATTCCAAAAGCAGCTCAATAGAATATTAAGCAAATTATACTTGTGCCAGGAGTAATATAAAATTCTCCATAAGTAGAGGCAATTGTTTTCACCCTGGTATTGAGGCTTCATGAAGAACCATTTCCAAGTTAAATTCAAAGCACTTATTTTTAGGTATTTCATGGTCACCTAGATTAAATAAATTATCTAGGGCAGGGGTGAGGATTCAATGGCCCTCCAGATGTTGTTACAACTGCCTTTTGCCTCATTGTCATGGCTAATGACAAGGAATGTTAGGGGTTGTATTCAGGAACATCTGGAGGTAAACAATCAACAGTTTGTTCAAATGGCTAGAGTTGCAACTAGTTTATTTTCCATTGTTTCTTCAAACATTTCTGAAAAAAGTGTTTTACTCATTATACAAGACATTTTTTTTCAAACTTGCACATATGTGCAAATATATACAACTTATTTTAGGCAATGCCATCAAGGGAAGCTTTTTTCATACATCCCAAATCCCAAAGTTCAGAGACAAACACAGGCTGTTTTGTTGCACAATACGTGACATTGCAATTTCCCTATGTTTGTGCAACAGATGGAAAAGAAGCCTGACTCTAGTCTTCTAGGTGACCAATTCAACATTCCCCATTTATGCTAAATGTATTGGTAGTTCTGATCACTCTAATATTGTCTGGTGTTAGGTAAGAAATCTGTTTATGTATTTATTAGATTTAGATCCCATCTTTTGTTCAGGTGTTCAAGGTGGCATATATAGCATTCCTTCCCCTATTTTTCCCCACAATACCAACCTTGTGAAGCTTGTTGCCCTGAGAAAGTGTGTGTTAGGGCCAAAGTCATCCACTGAATGATGGAAAAGAACTTCTGGTTCTCCCCACTCCTAGTCCAATACCTGAACCACCTTTCCCATCTATCTTTCTGTGGCACACAAATTCTTGTGTTTTTTTCCCTCAAAAACCCATTGCACTGCTGTCGTCATTCAGTGTCCAAATATTTCACAATACTACCCCCCCCCCGGCCGCCTTTGCAGGTTAGCTTTCCTGCAACATTTTGTTCTAGCCATTCCTCTGCCTCTTCATATTTCTCCATGTCTCTGCAAGAACTTGTTAGACCATTTCTGCCTTCAATGGCATATGTATCATCAGGCACCTGTTCAGCTACAGTATCTAACCACCCACTCTGTCTGTCTCCATCCAGAGATCAGCTTTAAAAAATCTGGCTGGCTTCAAAAAGGCTTCTGTTAATGGTTCATGTCCTTGGATTGTCATTTGATCACCAAGCCAGCTTTCAAAGAAGTTGTGTTTTATTTAGGGTAGATGGACGGACAAGAGATGCAGATCGGTATCAAGTTCTTTTGTTGTTTTTCTTGGGAAAGAGGGAGATGATGCAATTTTGGTGATGTTCTAAGACCCACAGATATTCAGATGCAAGAGAGAAGGGCTCCACGGATAACTGCAAGGATAATAATTGATTGACTTGATCAGCAAACATCTTACATGCTTTCTTACATGCTTTCAAGCCAATGTACATATCAGTATAGCAATGAAGGTACACCTAATTGCATTTTATACCATGTTAGCAAGGCTTGGGGTGCTTATTGGAAACCACTCTCTTTACATCATGTGCAGACAATATTTTTCTTTGGAGGGCTTTTTCTTTTTGCCCAAGGTTTGTGAGGAAAATGACCAAGATATCACTGGAATGTTGGCAGTGTGGACTTGGGGGCTTCTGTGGCCCACAAAATGGGGCTAGGGGTCCCATACATCCCATGAATATAAGTAGTCCATTCATGATCTTGCTTATGGCACCTCTCATCTCTGTCCAGTTCATCATACTTTCCACATCTCTGAACCAGTGGCTTAGCCATCAAGATCAGAGGTGGGGGAGATCTGTATTTCTCCAGATGGGGCAGAGGCATGACCCCTGGCAGTTTGTTCCCAGGCATGATATTGCAGTTCAGCCATATCTGGAGGGACACATGTTCCCCACTTCTGACTTAGCAAACAGGAACATTAAATATACATTCATGATTTAATGTTATTTGGCATGCATCCATACCACACTTAAATTTATTTTAAGGGGTACCAGGCAGCACATATCCTTATTTGTTTTGGTAGATTTATATCCTGTCTTTCATTCAAGAGCTCATATAGAGTGCTCCATCCTCCCATTTTCCCCCATAATAAAAACTCTGGGAGTTAAGCTGAGCTGAGACAGGTCGATCAGCCAAAGTCACATAGTAAGCCTCCATGGCTGAGGATGGACTTGAAACAGGATCTCCCTGGTGTTAGTCCAGCACCCTAATCACTCCATCATCCTAGCTTTCAAAAGTTTTCCCAGTCCAGATTTAGCACCCCAGCCTGATGTAAATATTAGACTAGTGAAACTTGCAGTCTTCAATAATCTTTAGTTATATTTGGTTTACGGCTGGGTGTTTTGTTCTTCCAGTCTGCATGATCTCTTTTTATATGTATTGTTTTTCTCATTAACTCGTCCAGGAGTCAGGTAGCCTCAAAATTGCATAAATAACAATCCCTACAGATATGCTAGAATACTCAGGTAAGTATGAAGCAGTGATGTTGACTTGGATATTGGCCTCAGTACTGAGAAAAGGCTGGTTATTTCTTCATATGTGCGCTGTGCTTATAGAGAAAATAGGTGTTGGCCAACATGCTTCCTTTCTCTGCTATGAAATATAGTTGTGTGTCTATTGTTCCAGGAAAATTCGTAACCCCACTGCCCAAGGAGCACAGACACTTTTGCTGCGTTTAAGACTAACCCTCATTTAACTGACAATTGTAGGACCCCTGCTTAATCCTTCATGCCTCCTTGCAGCCGGCTTTATAAGCAGCCTACTTACAATTCAACTGAATTCAGTAAGTGGATAGTACGTAGAGTTATTTCTAAGTCACTGGGGATGACAGCAAAAGGTCTAGTCCTAGTTGAGGATGGCATGGAATCCTTCCAGCTAAGGATATTCTCTGTTACAGTACAAAAATGGATTATCACACATATCATGAGAATTCCTTTTCTACAGAGGACAGAGAACATCTACAGTTCAAAGTGCCTTTCTTTTTCAACAGGCTATTTTTGATTCCATCTGGTGACTGTGAAGCCTAAGTTTCATCAACAGTCACACTTTACATCTAAGCGGGATACAGGTCTATCTCTCGAGCCTTCTGCAGCAGTGAATGTTACTAAGTACCAAGCTTGTATGTCCAAAGAATGCATTTTTTTTTCCAAAGGGAAAAGTAA